AAAAAAAAAACCTAATTACTGACCTAAAAATTCTATTGCTAATAATCCATCCTAAGGAAGCAACTAAGTAAGTACAAGAGATAAGAATCATATATTCACTGAAGTTTTATCTATAATTCTGAAAAAATGAGAACCAACTTAAATTCTATGCATCCAACAATCAGTGTTGGCTAATCAGAACTGGCTCTCTGCCCCAGCAGATGCTGGTTGTGGAGGCTGAGAGCACCTCACAACCCTGCTCAGCACCATAGTGCAGACACTACCGTGTGCTGCCAACAGAGTTGCCAGAAGATAAACCCCCCATCTGTGTGGTCTGGGAGGGGAGAGGGGGCAACACAGCACTGCAGAGCCACTGCAAATGGCCATGTTTAACACCACAACATGCTAGTGTGGAGAAAGGCAGCTTATGCAATAAAGATATCCCATAATCCCACTTTTTACAAAAAGTAGAAAGTAACACTGATCTGGCTTAGAAATCTATTGGTATAACTCATCATGTCAACAAATTGAAAAAGTGACCAACTACATGCATACCAACAGATGCAGAAAGAGCCCCAGACAACATTGACTCTTCCACCTGATGACGGGCATCCACAAGAACCCCACAGCACAGACCTACAAGTGGTAAGAGAGTGACGCTCCCCTGGAGATCAGTGCCCACTCTTATCTGCTCTGCTCTGGCAACCTTTGTCTGTGAAGGGACACGAGTGAGCACCTGAAGCTTTGTGAGCTAAATTGTCAAACTAAGATGCTGTACAGGTACCTACACAACAGGAGAAAAACAAATTTCCACACATTTCTTATTCATGAAATTCAGAATATAGTAATAATAATAAAGTATAATTTTTTGTGATATAGGTCTACGAATGAGAATAATGGAATCCTTTTGGGTGGATAACGTTTGTTTGACTGGAGTTAAAAGTTAGAGCCCTTATTATCAGAATTGATTGTATATATTCATTTGTTAATGTTCATCTATGATGAGATTTTAATATTTCATCTTTGAAAGGTCTGTCGTACAGAAATACCAATACAGTGCAGAGGCATATGATTCTGAGCATCCGTGGTGGGATCTTATTAAATTCTTTTCTTGGTATTCACCCTTTATTGGGCTGTTACTACAGATCAATCACTTCCAACTAAAGAGTAGTTAGACACTCCTGGACTGCACAAATGGATTTTGAAACATAGAAACTTCCTCTGCACTTTCACTGAGGTCCTGCCCTAGCTTGGAAATGCATGTATGACAAGTCTGTGCAGGAAGAAGGTATGTTCTCCTTCTACCTCTGCCAGCTGTGCCACGGCACTTGTGATTCAAGAAGTTGCAGTGACTTTACTGCACTGTAAGTTTTACATATGACTATTGCTGTGCCTTATAATGCTAGGCTGGATTCATTACGACACATTATCAGTCTTTAGCAAAAGCTAATTTCCAAAGTTATTCACTGGATGGTGGTTAAAGATGCTACTTATTCGTAAAAATCGCAATCTCTGCCCTTAGCTCAAAATAAACAAAACCAAACAATCCTAACACACACATACACACACACACTTTACCACTGATGAGTCATTAAAATGCTATGTGGTAAGGAAAATCATGATATTCAGATTCTAACTCTGATAAAATTTTGTAGTGGTGGGTGGTGCCTGTGGCTCAAAGGAGTAGGGGACCGGTCCCATATGCCGGAGGTGGTGGGTTCAAACCCAGCCCCAGCCAAAAACTGCAAAAAAAAAAAAAAAAGTTCATAGTGGTGCTGATGGTGACATTCACAAGGACACATGAAATCTCCCCTAGACAGCACTGGTTTAATAACACCTGAAATACTCTCTGTAAGTGGGTGGCGCCTGTGGCTCAGTGGGTAAGGCACTGGTGCCATATACCAAGGGTGGCAGGTTTGAACCCAGCCCTGGACAAACTGCAAAACAAAAAAATAGCTGGGCACTGTGGTGGGTGTCTATAGTCCCAGCTACTTGGGAGGCTGAGGCGAGAGAATCACCTAAGCCTAGGAGTTGGAGGTTGCTGTGAGCTGTGACGCTAAAGCACTCTACTGAGGGCAATAAAGTAAGACTGTCTCTTAAAAAAAAAAAAAAAGAAAGAAATACTCTCTGTAAGTACCTGCTGATGAACAAGAATGAATTTCAAGCACTTCACATTTCCAGAAGCTTTGTTAATTTGTCCAACTCTTTTTCTTTTAAAATTTGTTTTAAATTTTCTTTTTCTCAAACTTACTTTTAGTTCCCATGTCCAAGTCTTTTTCTGACTTACACATACTCTCAGCACCACTGGCTGTAAAGCATCTCAGCAGCTTCTGTTTTAGGTGGTTTCAGGGATCCCATCATAAAGGCTGACCCCGCTAGTCATTGCAAACTTAGCACTACCCTCAAACGAACTCCTGAGGAGCCCTGGAGACATGAAGAGCTGAGGAAAAATCACTCAAAACTGCCACATGCCTTGTTTGCTAACTGCTGATGTCACCTGCAGTGTCCTCAATTCCTTGAGCACCTATTCTTACCCAGAGGCTAAAGGTCTTAAACAAAGTTATATTGTCCAGACATGTTTCTTCATTTGCTGCAATCAAATGTGATTTAATTAGCTCACTGTTAGTCAAAGGCTTTCCTTGGTTGACTAACAGATGAGCTAACTAGAAGTTTACTTTGACTGAAGTTTCATCTTCACTTTTTATTTTGAGGAAAAAATTCTCTATGGTGAGATATTCCATTTTACTTACTTATTTACTTTCTTACTGAGACAGAGTTTCACTTAGTTGCCCTTGGTAGAGTGCCGTGGAGTCATACCTCACAGCAACCTCAAACTCCTGGGCTCAAGCAATTATCTTGCCTTAGCCTCCCAAGTAGCTGGAACTACAGGCACCTGCCACAACACCAGCTATTTTTAAAAACAGGTTCTCATTCTTGCTCAGGCTGATCTTAAACCTTTGAGCTCAGGGCAATTCACCTGCCTTAGCCTTGTAGAGTGCTAGGATTACAGGCATGAGCTACCACTCTAGGCCATAGATATTCCATTTTAAATTCTCAAGTTTTTCTAAATATCATTTCCCATGACTTGGGAATACTGTGATGAGTATTCAGTCTGACAAGGCCATGTCTGTTGGGCAGGTGGTATTGTGAGATTAAAGATGGGTAATTCAGCAAATTACAGATAAAGATGGTGCTTCTGAGAAGGCTTTTAAAAATTATAACAAAAAGAAAAAACAGGGTGGTGCCTGTGGCTCAAAAGGGTAGGGTGCCAGTCCCATATGCTGGATGTGGCGGGTTCAAACCCAGCCCTAGCCAAATACGCCCCGCCTCCCCCCAAAAAAAGAAAAAAGAAAAAACAAACAACTAAAAACCTTATCCTCATCTCTGCCCTCATTTATGAAGGGGCTGCTAAGAGGCAAGGCCTTGTTGCAGCCAGAGCAGGGAGGAAAAGCCACAGCTCTGGAGGGCCTGGCAGGGCATAGTAATGGGGCATGGTGCTGGTGTTATCCTCCAAGAAGCAGGACTGGGCTTGGCACCTGTGGCTCAAGTGGCTAAGGCGCCAGCCACATACACCTGAAGTGGCGGGTTCGAATCCGACCCGGCCCGCCAAACAACGATGGCTG